AAGACTCTTGTACTCTCTTGCTTACTTTCCATGACTTTGTGACTTCTATGTTAGGGTTAGGGTTTTATCTTTATCTTATTTTATCTCAAATTAATTCATGATTTCCGATTTCACGTTTCCTTTAATGGATACCATCGCCTCCTCCAATATTTGATTTTCTAATTTATGCTTTTCCAGTGTCATTCAGTTCCTCTTTATCTATTTTCCTTTCTCGTCCCTACTCTAAGGATTCAGGTTAGTTCCAGTGTAGTAGCCACCACTAATACGCATTCTTCCTTCCATTTTTATTTGCATCTTGTGGTTTATCTGGCTGTGTGATTTTGTTTGTGTTTTATTTATTTTTTTTTTACGCGGTTATGCATAGGGGTTGAGGATCCAATCAGCAAAATTTCATGTTCCTGTTTAGGATTTTTTGTATTTCTCGTTTTCTAATTTTAGTTTAATTAATTTGATTACATGTTAAGTTTTTATGGGATCTTAATTAATAGATAATTGAGTCAAGTTACTGGTTGTTGATCCATTGGATTGGTGGTGTGTGGGAAATTGAATCTTTGGAAGGATCCTAGGAATCTGCAATGCTTGTTTCTGGGACAAAGTCCAGATTGTGCTGCCACTGCTACAAATCTGCAATTTTGTTTTTATGTTCAAATTTGAATGGTGAAAGTCCTTATTGTCATACTATGTCTTGTGCATTGATTGAGATAATGGTTCTAACTCCTGAGCATCGGGGTGGGTGGTGGGGTATTGAGGAGGAATTAGATATTTAGGAGGATGCTAGGTTATTTATGCGAACAATTTCATGTTTGTGCTGCCAATGTAGTAAATTTGCAATTTTGTTTTTGTTCATATTCAAATGGAGAATTTCCTGTATAAATTCATATAAATTTTGTGATGTGGTTATGTTATGGTATATATTTAGTCATGTGTATCTAACTATAAGCCTTTTTCTTTTCCTGACAACATAGAATTGTAGATGGTGTTTTCATTTAAAATAATAATAATAATAATAATAGTAAACCACTCAGGTTGCACTTGGTTTAGTATTTTCTCATAAATAGCCATTGAATTCTTTCCTGCCAGTCAAAATAGCTCTGTGATCCTATCTTTTAAATTAAATAGATGCTTGAGTCATGCATTTTATATTTTAATGCCCATGCATGCTAAGAGAGAAAAAATTGCAAAGATTCAAGTCTGTCTAGTAAAGTTAAGGAATTCAGAGCCATACATTTGAATCTATATTGGGATAAAATGACGAGTTAATGGTTTTGCAGGTTCTTTGTATGGAGTGTGTGGAGAAGGATCAATAACAAAGTCCTTGCAATCTCAAATTGTTGATGTAATATGTTTTTTATGGGCCAAAGAAGCAGAGCTTCTAATCTAGCTCTTTGTGATGGAAACTACGTTTAGGAGTTGGTGATGTTTATATTCTTAATTACTGCTGATGACCTGATCGCCTGGTAAGCTGTGTGGCATTGAATTTTAGTTCCACTGCAAATTCACGTCTCATTTTGAGCAAAGTCTGTTGGAAAAATTACTAGTTGAACTTTAATTAAGAGTTTGCCCAAAAAAATAATAGAACTCTGAGTAAGAGTGATAATAAGAAATAAGAAAATAAATAGTTATTTTGGAATTGTGGGGATTTGAGTCCTGACATTTATTGCTTTCTCTGTTGGGTGGACAAAGCAAAGGTATGTCTGTTGGCTGGACAAAGCAAAGGTGTGTCTATTCGGCTCGTAGTCAGCCTTCAAATACTGGCCTATGATGTTTTACCTGTAGAATAAAGAAACTCCTGTTTCAAGATCTATATGCCTTATTTGACTTTCGTTGATTTCACAAAGCTTTAATTATTAGGAGAGTTTAATTTCGATTTTGACCTTTTCTTACTGATGATATATTACGTGTGCCCACTCTGTTGGTATCTGATTATGGTAGTGGCCATTGTGCTGTGAGGTTTTATATTGTAGTCATTAATATCGTTATTATAATTCCTTGGTTAGATGTTTAGTATTTGGAGATCTTGCCATTAATCCCTTGTATTGCAACAGTTAACATTGATCTCTCCATTGTTATTTTCCTCTTATTTTGGGAGTGATGTCGGAAAAGACAGATTTGCAGGTTTTGGTGACGTATGGGCTTGATGGTGGTTTATTTATACATTTGTGCTTTAATTTGGTTAGGTTTTGTTTTTCTTTTTCTTTTTTGTTAGTAACAAAATAATTAGTTTTTGGTTTTTTTTTTTTCCTTTGTTTTTTGGGGGTAATTAGTGGGGTATTGGGGCTTTAAAAAGCAGTTGTATCATGGTTTAATTTAATGATTGTGGGATCGAGTGAAAAATTATCTTCTTCCATATTAATTTTATCTTCTGATGGGTCAACAGATAATAGCTACGTGGAGGCAGTTGAATAATCTTTAGAAGCTGCCCTGTAGAAAATAAAGGTTTTAGAAAATGATTGCGGTAGTAATCTGGCTATAAATATGCTTGTATTTTGTCTTTAATTATTTACGATCAGCCTAATTATCCCGATATGATTCTAATTTTGGTCAACGGTCCTATAAATGAAACTCAGTTGAAGATGGTCAATTGGGAAATAATCCCAAGGTCGGTTGGGCCGAATCTCTCGGCTTTTCATTCATATATGGCGGTGGATTCTAATCGGTTCAAGTCCATGGTAAGGGCCCAGAAGATTAGCCCAATCCAAAATCAGTTATGGTATATGTTTAAAGTTATTTGGGAAATGGTAATTTTTATAAACCTTTGCGAGCCCAAAGGGCCCATTTAAGAAGGATGTAATTTACCTTTTTAGGATCCAATAAAAATCCTACGTAGGCTTAAAATCTAGGCTGTTTAATTTTAGGCTAATAAGGTCCAATCTGAGCCTAAAGTAATAAGTTGTAGCCAGTTTTAGGCCCAAAGTAATAACTTGTAGCCTATTTGGGCTCAAAGTAATAAATTGAAGTCTGTTTTGTGCCCCAATATAGTTGGTCAATGGGTCGAATTTGGGCCATTGGCCCAATATTGGAAGCCATAATGGGCACCTGAGCCCAAAGAAGTAGCCATGTTGGGGTATGGGCCTTGGGCCCAATATTGGAACCATTAACGGACCACCGGGCCCAATATAAGAACTATTAACGGCTACTGGGCCCAATATAGAGCATTAACAGGCCACTGGGCCCAATTATATGAACAATGAACGGGCCACCAGGCCCAATATAAGAGCGATTAATGGGCCACCTGGCCCATTGAATGACCATTAACGGGCCATTGGGCCCAATGAATGACCATTAATGGACCACTGGGCCCAATAGCTGATCCATTAATGGACCATCGGGGCCCAATATGAAAAGTTGTAGGCTAGTGATGGGCCTCGGGCCCAATCTAGGGGAAATCGCAGGCCAACGAGCCCAAAAATAGTATAACTTGTGGCCCAACATTGGAATCCATTATGTGAGACTGAGCCCGAAATAGTAGCAAGCATGGGCCATTAAGCCCAATATTCGTGGAACAATTACGGGCTAACGCGGCCCAGCGTGAATACGGATAATGGGCCTAAGCCGACAAAATAGTTACCAAGTATGGGCCTTTGGCCCAATAGAGTGGCCAATTGTGGGTTATAAATTTTGCAGGGGACCTTTACTTAATTGTCTTTAATGGACCTTACCCAATTAAAAATTTTTTATGGGCCTACGACGGGCCCTACCATAGAACTCGTCATCCAAACGCGACACCACAGAATGCCGAAAGTCGATGAATTTACGAAATTAATTTTTTGCGGGCCGAAATCTAGAAATCGTATAGGAATTGGAAAAGCCTGCAAATTGAAATTGTGCAATCTAAAAGTCTCGGCCACTGCACTGTTCTAAATCCCTAAGATCAAATTTTGTACACCTTTCGAATAAATACAGAAACTTCTTTTTGTTACCAGCCCGCCCCGGACAAGTCATATTGGAATCGCAAATATATCTTATTTATGAGATGAGGAGCCTAAACAAAGTATACTTTAAAAAAACAAAATAAAGATAATTACATTACTGCCGGAAACATCAAAATATTTGTCTATATTCCGAGTTATCCAATCCAGTTATGATAATATTAAAAATAAAATACTAGGTGGATAAAAACAACGCAAATAAGAAGCTTAAAAACACAATTGCTGGCCAAAGAAAAAATCTAAAAACACAATTGCTGGCCAAAGAAAAAATCTAAAAACACAATTGAGTTTAAAACCGATAAAAAAAAATTACTGTAAACCATTTGATCATTATCAAGCATCCATGATCTGTAGACATTTGACAACATACCACAAATAATAGTAAAAAATGCACATTGTGTAACTCATTTAATATTAAGGTAACAAGGAGTGAAACATAACACCAAAACAGTAAAATATGCAGAGTGTAACTCACTTCACATCGGGGTAACACGGAGCAAGATATTGACAATTTTAACAAATCAAAATATGTGCCCCAGTGCAACAGAGAGCTCACACAATCCAGAACCGATTATGATGCAAAACCTAACCCAGGAAAGCATTGTCTTGTAACAGGAAGAATACAATAATGATGATGACAACGTTGATAATATGAAAAGAGTGCTTACATGTACCAACTTTCTCTGCTCCATAGACTTTCATGTCATGCTAAAGGAAAAATCTGATTTGCTCATATGTGTGTGTGTGTGCATGTGTTCAGGTTTATTTTGTTAAGGCCTTGGGGACATATGGAATTATGTGAACCAACCAAACAAGGGATGTAGATGCTGATCCAAAATAATAATAATAATAATAATGGATGTAGATTTTTACAAGGTATGACGCTTGAGCCTTACATGTAAAGTTGTCCACCTCTTATTGGGCCCAGTTTACTCCATTCCTTTTAGCATCAAACATTTTTGCATCTTGAGAACTCCAAATCTGTAACAAAAAGTACAAGCACAGTAATTCTCATCTTCCTTTAATTGGAAAAGAAGACAACTATTCTAGAACACAACAATGAACTCATTCTCCACGATAGTTACACATGACATCATGTAAGATATGAATAAAGGACTGCTTCTAGAATCATACATGACAGGCCCCCTTAACATCAAAATTTTATCCTCAAATTGTGATACTGTCATTTTTCATTTTTCCAGTGCATAAAGAAAGTAGGGAGCCACATCCACATGCACTGAGTTACAAGTTACGTTTTTCATTTGCATCACACATAAAGAAACACGTGATTATAACATACACAGGATGGTATGGAGAAACTTTACATGAATAACAATATATTCCTAAAAGTAAAAAAAATAAAGTTACATAGAGGTATAAACATAAGACACAAAATATGAAATATGATAAAGTTTGCCAACAACAACAACAAAAAAAAGGAATTAAGAGATATCAACATAATCTAGTGATATCTAAGCAACATATTATGATTCACTTTCAACAAAAAAAAAACCGTCAATAATGAAAGAGCTGATATGGATTCAGTTCCCTTTCTAGCAGCAGTTGGTGATATAAGCGAAACTGCCTTTCTTTTAACAAGTGCTTCAAGACTAGGAGTGAAGACTCTCACAGGAAGAGCTCCTTATATACTCTAATTCAATCTTGGACATTAAGTCAGTGAATTTCTTTCTGACTAGGCTAAGACTTTTCTTTGCATTTCCCTGCTTACTGTTAGTTCTGATTAGGAAGCATGCAAACAAACAATATCATCGATCTAGATGACTAATGCCTATTTCACAATTAAGAAAAATTTCTTTCTGCGAATTAGTTTCCTTTTCCACCATCAAAATATACACTAAACAAAAAGGAAGTCAGATAATTCAGTAATCAATAGTATAAGAAAAATGAAAAATTGAGGTAAAACAACAATACAGTACCAGAGATGGGATTCGTCCATCACCAGAGATGGTATATAGTTTCTATATATAGAATCAAAAGTCAAGCAGATAACAAGAAGGAAACATAAGAGAAATTGCTCCAAACCGATATTGCTAACAATTATGTAGTATGTACTCTAGCATCACCTAACAAACCGATAGAAACCAATATTAAGTCAGTGGAGAATCTAACACCACCTAACAAACCGATATTGCTCCAAACAAAGAAAATTAAAGAAATTAATGTACATTGAGGAGCTATTTTGATTCAAGAAACCTAGCTCGGAGTGTGGATACACCGTAACAAGAACGAAACAAAAGCGATTTCTCGGAAACATGAATTTCAGATAATTCACGATAAGAAATTGAAGAAGACAAGTTTCCTAGAGCAACGAAAAATAATATTTAGAAGCAAAAATCAAACAAAATGCTAGGATTCATACATCAGCGAAAATCTAACATCGCTTACTAAATCGAAAATCCTACGGAAAAAAAAAAAAGAAAATTAAGGAAATCAAGTTACATGTTGAGCGATTTTGATCCAAGAAACCTCGCTCGGTATGTGGATACACCATAAGGAGAACGAAACAAAGATATGAATTTCAGATAATTCATGATAAGAAATTGAAGAATTAAGGTAAAAAAATGCTACATCACCGGAGATGAGTTTCGTAGATCATCGGAAAATAATAATCAGAAGCCAAAATAAAACAAAATGCCAGGATTCATCCATCAGCGGGAAATCTAACATCGCTTGCTAAATCGAAAATTCTCCGGGGAAAAGAAAATTAAGGAAATCAGGATGCATCTTCGAGCGATTTTAATTAAGAAAACCTACCTGTATGTGTGTATTCACCATAACAAGCAGCGAATCGATGAGATCTATGAGCAACCGAAGAATTTGAGGAAACTGCACGGGGAAGAAGAAGCAATCTGGAGTGAATTCGTAAACCCTAGTGGAGACGGAGAAATGGATTTGGGAGTGTTAGCAGCGTTGCGTACAGATCAAGCTACTCATGATCTGTTTCCGCGTCCAAATAACTGATGCACGGAGATCCATGTCGTCGATATTGGGCCGA